AAATTTTATCATTATTATTTTTTAGCACCCCATTTCTTGTACCTTCTCCCCATTTGTCCCTTGAGCCAAGGCCTTGTATATATGTAATGTGTTTGCCAGACAACTCTACTTACTGGAGCTCCACTGACGTTCTCAAAAAGCCACAGCGAGGTGCTTCTGTGGGGTCATTTGCCAGCTCCAGCCTCTGGGATAAATCAAGATAAGAACAGGCTTGCCTGTTGCTGGGGCCCTTGCTTAATGCTAAATAGGCGTTCTCAGATTAAAACAGCTTTCCCCTGAAAATGTAAGTTCCCTGGAATTGAAACATCAGTTGGCATGCACTAGTTTAGACATTTGAAACATCAGTTGGCATGCACTAGTTTAGTGTTCGCAAGTGTTCGCAAAGCTAAAAAGAAAAAAAAAAGCTTGCTAAGCAAAATAGGAGCCTTTCCCAACCCCCACAGCTCCGTGGTTAGGATACTGGTGTTTAACGTGGGGCAGCCAGCAGCGAGTTCTACCTGGGGCCAGTTCTGCCTGGCCCTTCCTTTAGAAATCTTACCTCTGTCTGGCCAGCAGCAACCTGCAGTGGACCTCCATCCTAGTGCAGTTAATGCAATTTGCATAATACACGAGTGTTAGGTTCACAAAAATACTAGGAGGATAGTTTTAGTTGGTGCGGTATCAGATAGGTTTGCCAAGCAGGTATTAAGGTACTTCCTCCAACCGCTGATCTTCAGAAGAATTATCTGTGATGTGGGAGGTAGGTGCGTGTCCTAGGACAGAAATAAAACCTATTTAGGAGGAACAGGCTGTGATGCAAACTTCAAATTTAAATATTTGAGCACCAGCAGATAAATTCAGACTGGGTCAAAACTAACTGAAATGGGAGGGTGGGGTATTTTCCCCACATTCCTTAGGAAATGTGGTTTTCAGTGATGCATTTTGAGCTCGTTTCGTACTGCTGCTTACTCCAACAGCTCCGTAAAGTGCCACCCACTGGGTTCTGCGTCGTGTGATAGGATTTCATTTCCAGCTAAACTCTTATTGCTTCTAAATTGGACTGGCAGCTACACATGTATTTATTTAATCTAATCTTGAAGTCTGGATTGCTCAGCACTTGCAACAGAGTCATGTGGGTCAAGAATAAACTAAGAATCAGGGCCGTTTCAGCAGAATGCTTTGCACAGTACTAAGACTGCCTCTTAAATTTGGGAATGCTTAGAGCCTCCCCAAATACGGCAACTTCCCACACCAACCAGTAAGTGAATATTTCCAGACTTGGTGCCAGGGGTTTACGACAGCTGGATGATCAGACTCAAGGTGGAGTTTGCCGTGTTTGCAAACAAACGGAAAATAATAGGAAATAGGAAAAAAGAAAAATAAATGTGAGCCAAGATTAGTCAAAGAGCACTAGGGAATTAGGGCCAGGTCCAGCAGCACGGTCCAGGCAAGGCTGCCCCAGCTCCTTGCTCCCAGGGGCAGCCAGTAGCCAGGCTGAGCCTGTGTTCCCAGCAGGCACATGCACACAAACACATGTATACACACGTATACGCCACATATATACGTGGCCCCCACCCAGACCTACACACACAGAGCATTTACACAAACACAAACAGCATAGATGGCCTCCTCCTTTTCCTTACCCAGACTGAAGAGGAGGGAGGTCAACTAGTGGGAAATATACATATATAAATATATATACATGTATAAGGTGGATCCTTCTGGGACCTGAGCTCAGATTCCAGTCTCTCCCATTCCTGGCACCTGGGCATATGAAACCCCAAGGCTGCAGCCCCACTCCTGTTGCTGGTACAAACCCCATCACACACACACACGTGTGTGCACAGTTGGCCAGGACTCCCCTGGTCCCTCCAGTAGCCAACTTGCCACAGCCTCACCCTTAGAGACACAGACACCAGTGTGTCTCGGCCCTATAGACCCCCAGACCCCAGCCCTATAGAACCCCAGACCCCATGGTTTCTCCAGCAGATGTCTGGGACTGCCCAGGTCCCTCTGACAGTCAGCTCCTCCTGGCTCCCCCCAGGGCTTCCAGGCCACTTCATCTTCTTGCTAGCTGGTCCACCTGAATCTTTACTAGTGCTCACAGCCTCACCTGCACGACCACACTCGCTGCACCACGGGCCCCTGTGACTTAACACTCAGACCCCAAAAAACACCACATCACCCCCCACCCCCTAATAGAGAGTTCCTCACCCAGGAAAACAATCCGAAATAGAAATTAATAACAAGGTAGGGCAGACAGTGCTGATCAAGGTTGGCCAACTGTGCTGGCCAGCCAACACTTTACATGCGACTGGCCCTATTTTCCCCTTTCTCCCTCACTTTCCCCCCTTTGATTCCTCCCCTAGACATCCCATAGTAAGTCCTGTGCGATCCCAAAATGCCCTTCCCCTGCATCCTCTAAAGTGGCCGGTGCCCCTGTAGGCAGCACCCTCAGCTCTCAGAGGGGCTCCAGCCCCTTTTCACACCTGGACAATGGGGTTGATGGCTCTTCCCGGGACAGCCCAGGCAGGATGCCCTTTCTTCTCAGTCCTTAATTAGCGTTGCCACCTGCCATTGTGTCTCTGTGTGGGTGAAAATGGGGTCTTTGATGTGCTGATGGCTCCTCTGATGTGCTGATGGCTCCCGTGATGGGCCTGGGGGAGCAGCCGTGGGGCAGGTGTGT